ATATTTCACGTTTTTCAGGATATGTCTTGGAAACCTGAGTGGATTTAAAATGGTTATGATACTTTATTTTAAAACTGAACATATCTTTTCCACTTACCGATGAAAACTTAGATTTAGATTTTTAGTCGAGTTGGAGCGGCAAATTACGCATCGATGAACCATTCTTATGTATGACTAAATAATTAATTTTCGTAAAATCACAAGAAAAAACAAAAGTTTAAAAATTAAAATAATTAAATTTACATTAATAATAATATAATCCAGTGATAAGCAGATGTCTCTTATCCATAGATAATATTTAAAGATTTTTGTAACATAACCTTGAAAAAGGCACGTTATTGTCTGTCTCTCTTGTAGCTCTCTCTTCCACAAAAAAGACCGCGGCACGCTGTGGAGTGAGTATAGGCATGTCCTATAGTAGGAATACTATTATCGTAAATATTTTATTAATTTATTTTCAAAATAAATTGTAAAAAAATGCAAAATTCAAGGTACGGGTTATATACTATAGCCGATCACCATTACGGATTCGATCTCGCTACCCCCGTATTGTTATGCCTACCTACCTACCTATCGACTACCTATCCAGATGGTGAAATCAAACAAAAACATGGTATTTTAACTGGACAAGTTTAAATTTATTTATCTTGTCATCTTGATACACAATCTAATTTTATATGTCCATACCATTATTTTTATCTAGGTAGGTATTTTAATTATAACACGGTAATTTGGAATTTTATTGAAAACACAACGCTTATTAATGCCAGTTTCAGAAACATTTGCTTTTAAAAGGTCAAATTCATAATTTTTATCATCTCTAATCCAATCACCAGACTCGGTAAGCATACTTTGAAGGTCATGCTTATGCCCACGACAAATTCGGCAGTAATGGTTAGCTGAAAAACTTTCTACAAATCCAAGAATTGAATTTAGTCCCAAATTATCACCCAAAATTAAACCGAGAACAAAATATATCTTTATATCAGTGTAATTAACTTGTATTGTTAATCCATTTTCTTGCAGATCAATAAGGTCATTTATGAGGGAAAAAAACATAGATTCATTACTAAATTTTCGAGTCCCTCTATCAGACGAGTGAAATAAAAATGCAGGGAAAATGTTTTCTAATGATGATAAATATTCCGGTGGAAGAGCAGGCACCGTTTAGTAAACCCATCCCATTTTGTGAACACCTGAATAAGAACCAAAAGGGTTACCCATTTCTGCATCATCAAAGTATAAAAATATGTTGAAAATTGAAATGTTTTATCTTTTAAGCTTTTTATAATATTTTGCCATGTAGTGCCATTTAAAAATGGTGATATATTAGAGTTGTCAATGATGTAATCGTATATTGATGGGCCAAATAAAATTCCAGGCAATTCAAAAAAATTTTTTAGATTTTCTTTTATACAAAATAAATGTCCTTGCACTTGAACCATAACCTGCCGCTCTACACCATCTACGACTTTCTTTTCTTTAGTGAAACCAACCACAACTGTTTTTGGTTTAAATTACAAATTATTTGACTCAAAATATTTAATTCACTGATATTCTGTTTTAAAATTTAAAAAAGGATTTTCTAACACACTAAACATATTATAAATTTCAGCTATTTCAGATTGATTACTATTGTTATCCAAAAAAGGTGACATTTTAGATTTTAATTTTTATATCAAGCCAGATGAAAACAATTCTGTTGTTCCATCTATAATATCTTGAATTAAAAAACTTATAAAATTGCATATGCATAAAAAGTTGATCAATGGTAGGAAAAGATACATAGCATACAAAGCAAGAGTACATTTTAACTCTATATAATTCATATTTAACAAATTGTTGTTTACATAAAAACAAGTGGGCCTTTTTAATTAAAAATAAACAATTTATCTTTTACTTAAACTTTAAAATCAAAGAGATTATAAACTATTTAAAAATTTTAAACTAGTAAAATTAATTGTTAATTCATTACTTTACTGTTAATTGTTATAACTTAATACAAATTCAGTAGATAAAAAAAAAATTATTATCCTTGCATAATAGGAATTCCTATATCAGATATTAGGGCACCAGGGCCGGATTGCGTAATAATAGTCAACCAAACTCAACATTCAACTAGTCCAAAGATTAAATGATCCCCCCCCCCAAAAAAAAAAAAATAAAAAAACAAAATTACTTGTTTAGTTGTTTGGCTGAGACACGATTGAGCATAAAACACCTTTATTGGGACACGATTGAGCCACATTGTCGGCGTATCAAAGGAAATCGGAATACAAAAGAAAACCTACACTATTGAGCATAAAAAACTTTGCAACGTTGCCATTTTCCATTTTAAAATATATTATTCAAAAATATTTATTTAAGTAATTATAATAATTCAAAATATAACATAGATAGGTATCAAAAAAAAAAAATGATTTCATAGTCAATAGTATAGTCACATTTCATAAATTTATTTTATAATAATAATAGTTATGAAAATAATAAAATCAAAATGTGGTACGAATAATTAATAAATATACTACAAGGTCTAGGTATAAGACAATAATACTATAGAGTATGTGTGATTGAACACTGATATTATATCTATAATAATTTTGGAATGTTTCTTAATTTATTATCTTACATTTTTCCCCAATTTTAAATGTTTAAAACGTCGGAACTTTATTGCTCCGGAACTAATTTATTAATCGATAACATTGTCGATAAAGCTGGGCTCAGCTCAAGTCTCGAATAATTGGTGTAATAGTACGTGAAATTAATAAATTACAAAATTTCGGGCACGTGAATGTGGCAACATCGCGTAAAATATTCTATGCTCAACCATGTTGCTAAAAAGGTATACCTATGCTTAATCGTTTTATGCTCAATTATACTTTACTGAGTTGTTTGATTATTTAGAGTTTAGACCATACACTAACACTGATACAATAATTTATTAGACAATAAATGAAAAAGGAGTCTTATATTTTGGACGTCAAATTTGTAATAAATGTGATTGATAAAATCAAAAATTAAACACCAATGAGTTTTAGTACACAACTTTCATTTAATTTGATTTAAATAAACAAAGTTATTTATACTCTTTTTTACATTATTTATTGATAAGACATAGAAGCAGTTTATTTTTATTGAGAAAACAGAAAAATAAATTTCATAATCGACCAATCAAATTTATTTAATAAATCACTTTTTCTGTAATTAATTGTATAATTTCTTCGTTTTTTACATTGGGCAAAATATCTTTTTCTATATTCACCAATAAAAATGTTTCTAATTTTTCCTGAGATAAACTATTATGCAAAACAAAGTTTCTTTTGCTTTGGATGATGAGCTGCAGCTTTAAGTCTATAAGTCCCGTTTAAGGCGAGCTTTTTCCACTCCACCTTTAACACGTGGATTATTCATTGGAGTTAATACATTTCAAATTTACTATAAGCGTCCAATCGAATATTATCATCAGATACCAGTAGGCAGTAATATTAATATTAATATAATATAGTGATAACGTTTATATATAGGTATGTGCTCCGTCAGTTTTTAATTAATTTTAACATTTCTTGTTCTCTTTCTTCTAAAGTTTTCACTCGTATATACGGACTGTGTTTTTTTCTTGGCTGCTGTATGTTTGCAAGTGAATTCTTCACCGAATTTCGTGACTTTTGCTTGATTCTGTTCGCGTTTCTTCCAGTCGCTGTTTGGTAAGTTATTGTCATTATCAATTGTCTAGATAATATCTAAACAGCTATTTTGATTACGACGTTTTCACGGATTTTGTGGAGACTTTAATGTCCGGCTAAAAGGTTAACCAGCGTCTCCTGCTTCTCTCTAATCGTCGTATAATAAGCTGCAACTCAATTATTTGCCAGCGGAAACTATACTTGTTATTTATTTATTTATATAGAAATTTTAACGTGATTACACATTATTACTCTTATATTTTCCGTTATGCCTATCACTCGTTGTAATTCTCTCAACAAGGAATCTTCTCCTAAGGCCTCCACTTCCAATAATGATATAATGACTGTTTTGTTGGCGTTCAAGACTGAAACTCTCTCATCCAATAAGGTGCTCTCGGACACAATGTATAAACAATTTAATAAATTTAAAGTTGATCTACAGCTAGTCTCGAAGCAAGTCACTGAACTTAAAGGAGCGAATGCCACCCTTACCAATGAAGTTGAATTACTTAAGGGTAAAATCGCTTCCTTAGAGAGTATTAACCCCACAGAACATTCTTAGTCATTAATCTCTCAAGTTCTATAGGAAACCTTTGAGCATGAAAGATGTCAATCTAATTCAATTTTATATGGTGTTCCGGAATCGACTTCACCTGAGGCCACTCATCGGATTGAACATGACAAGCTCACTATCGTTAAAGCTCTTGAACCACTCGGTAATGTTGTTCCTGTTAACCTTAAGTTAATTCGTCTTGGAAAGTCTCGTACTGAATTTTTGCGCCCTGTCAAAGTTATTTTCGAATCTAAAGTTATTGCAATGAATCTTTTTGCTGCCTACAATACAGCTACACGATCTGGGAAATCTTTTCCTGAAGGCTTTCGGATTTCTAGAGATAGAACTGCCCTACAACGAAAACTTTTGCGTTCATGTTATGATGACCTTGACAGAAGAGTCAGAAGTGGCGAAACTAACCTACGTATAGTTTTTGTTAACGGATTATCTACTGTTGGTTCAACTCTTTTGAAAAACGGTGGCGGTCGTCATCGTGAGCAACCCAATCCAAGTTAATTTCTTCAAATTCGTCTGAATCTCCATTCGTCTCAACTAACTGCCCTCATACGTCTATAAGCATTGATTCTACTTGTTCTCTATGTATCAAGGCTGCTTCTACTATTATTTATTACTATGAATTTATCAATAAGCATAAAAATACCTCTGTAAATACTCTTAATTTTAATTCTCAATTTTCTCTCAATTCTCTTAATTTATAATTACAATGTTTATAGATGTGACAGAATGATGGCAAAATTATAAGCATGTTAGACATTGATAGTCTGAACATTGCACTACGATTTCCAGATGCATATTTGCCGTTAAATTCTATTGACTTTGGAGCAAAATTTCAAAAACAAATTGCAATCAGTATAACCAAAAAAACTCTTAGTCATGAACAGTGTCAGATGGTAATGCAGCGTTCATCACAATTTATTTTTCGATTATGCCGTGAAATTATTAATCGACTTCCACATAATGTTGTTATTATGGAAAAATTAAGGAATTTATCCCCATTGGAGTGCCTTAGTGGTACATTAAGACCATCATTTTCTAATCTTCCTCTTGAATTAGCAGGTATATATTAGAACCCATTTATCTTTAACCGTTTTACCATAATTATGTGTATTTAGTAAATTTATTGTCTGTAACATGTTTATTTAATAGTTGACTCTTTCCAGGAAATTATACAGATCATGACATTCTAGAATCTCAGTGGAGGAAATTAGGAACTTTGAAGTATGCTGATATATTTCCAGATAAATCTATTACAGATGTAACACTGATAGAATGTTGGGTAGAATTATCTAAAGTAAAAACAGCATCTGGTGAAAAAATGTTCAAGGAATTGAGTGATTTTGTATTTAGAGTGTTAACTTTGCCTGTATCAAATGCCGTTGTAGAGCGTGTGTTCAGCGTCATGAACACAACTAAAACCAAATTGCGAAATAGAATGTCCATGGAGTTATTGGTAGCATTAATTCGAATTAAAATACATTCTAAAGTAAACAAATTTTGTTGTACTTCATTTACACCATCTAAAGATATGTTAAACCTGTTTAATTCAAAAATCTATGATTCTGATAAATCTGAAACAACTGCATTATCTAAAGATTTAGAAAATGATATTTTTGATACAGTAGAACTGTTTAGTGTAGAACTGTAGACAATGATTTTTCTAAACTATAACTATTCTTAATTTAAATGTATTATGCATATAATTATTATAATAATATGTATTCAATTTGTTACAATATGTATTTAAGATTGCTTTTTTAATTGTTTTATTATTATATATTATATAAGTGTTTTTTTTTCTATACAAACAAATTGACTGTTGTTAATTATGTTTTAATTTAAGAATTGAATGTCTTACAATTTAATATGTTATAAAGACTAAAGAGATATATAAGTCTGTTTTTTTATTTTTTTTCTATACAAATTGACAGTTGTTAATTATGTTTTAATTTAAGAATTGAATGTCTTACAATTTAATATGTTATAAAGACTAAAGAGATATATAAGTCTATTTTTTTATTTTTTTTCTATACAAATTGTCAGTTGTTAATTTTGTTATAATTTGTTATAAAGAGTATATAAGTTTGTTTTTTTATTTTTTTTCTATACTTTTTTCTATATTGAGTGTTGTTAATAGCATAATTTGTTATAAAGAGGTAAATGTTTGTTTTTATTTTTTTTTCTAGTCAAATTGACTGTTAATTATACTTTAATTAAAGAATTTAATTTGTTACAAAGAGTTATAAAAGTTTGTTTTTTTAATTGTTTCCTATAAAAATACTTAAATAAGATTTGCATTGAAGCACTACAAATTTTAAATTTAAATTTTTAGTTTCCAAGTGGATTTTAAATGTATGTGGATATTATATATATATATATATATATATATATATATATATTAGAGTCTTCTAATATTATAATCCTTGTTGACAAATTACAATTTGCACTATTATTTGAAACTGAAATTTGAGTTATTTTTGGTCCACTAGATGGCGCTACGTACAATTATTGTGGCGATTTGGGCTACTACTTAAAATTATCTGATTTGGGCGATATTGTGAAACAGTTTTTGCGACATCTATCATTAAATATATGGCAACACTGTATAATACCGCTGTACGGCGTTGCATCATCGTAATCGGCCTATTTACTTAATCTATAGGTACATTTACAATTTATTTGATAATTCAATTGACAAAAATCTAAAAACTCGTTTAATAAAATAAAATTTTGACAGATTTTGATTCAAAAACAGGTAAAAATGCAAAAAAGTCCCAAAAAAAAACAGTAAAAACTAAAAAATCGTAAAATATGCAAAAAAAAAGCAAAATAAAATTTTTAATTTGATTTCTCTGTATCATGAAACACATTTTTAGCTTACTCTGCTATTTTTTAAGCATCTCATAAGATTGTTATTATTATTAGTTATTACCTACTATTCTATTTTTAATTCCATCAGAATTCAGACTGGTTTGCCCCATAAAATATAAAAGATTGTACATCTTGGTCTGCACATGAACCTCCGTATATAGTAAAAGAAATGCAATACCAGGATTTTATAAACTTACAACTACTTTCTTCTTCATTAATAAAGAATAAAAAAATTGTCACTGAAGGTAATATTATAAACTGGCTGAAACTTAAATGTTTTGAATACAAAAAAAATAATCCTTACATTGTTAGATATAAATATGATTATTTTAGCAAATATCAATACATAAATGTCGGAAAAAAAATGTTAGAAGCAAAATTGCATCAACCAATATAAGTAATTTAGAGCTTAAATATTTATATTCAAAACCATTTTCAATAAGCCATGGAAAGAAAAACGACCTACTTATACTATGTGAAAATAATGTAATACCAGATATGTTTCATATGTTTTATAAAAGTTTGCCAAGTATTCATCTTAAGAAAGAAAAAGCTCCAGTACCAGGTGGATCCGATACAGAAATAGATGAAGATTAAGACTGATTTTTATAATTATTTTATACATAAGTTGCAATTTCTTAAAAATCTTAAATCACTTACATACAAGTAATTGTTATTTTGTTTTTTTCTTTTTTCTAGTTTATGAGTTATGTTATTATGACAATAATTTTAAGATAAAAAAGCGTTTAAGTGGATGTCGGTCTGCTGTACAGTAGATTACAAGTGTTTAAATGTATAATGGATTGCATAAACTTGAATTCAATGATATAATAATATGTTCATTATGTTTACATATTTGGAAGAATGTTTTTCAGCCAATGCAAATTCTGGTGAAGTGTTTAAAAAAATTATTGATTGTTTTCTTAACAAATATGAAATCAAATTCCCGTGTGAATTACATGGATTAGACCTTATAACAACTATAATTGCATATTACATTCAAATGCGAATGAGGCAATATACAAAAAAAAATTCAATTTCAAACGGCAAAACATGCAACAATTAAAAAAAAATCTAAACTGACCAAAATATAATTTAAATAAAAAAATTGTTTTAAGTTAGGTAAGTATAAATATATTAAAAAATGACGATGGTTCTCTAGTAACAGAACAGGACAAAATACTTGAAAAATGGAAACACTATTTTGGACGACTACTTAACTGTGAAAACCCAGTGGAGACATTTGCATGGATGCCAACGGAACCTAATGATACTGATTGCCCGCCTCCAAGCAGAGAGGAAATATTACAACAACTCAACAGGCTAAAAAACTATAAAACTCCTGGGGAGGACGGAATTCAAGGAGAAGTGCTAAAAAACCTGGATGAATTAACGATAAACAAAATACATAGTATTATAGAGAGCGTTTGGCATGAAGAAAGACTTCCTAAAGACTGGGGCACCGCATTAATCTGCCTTATTCATAAAAAAAAATGATCCACAAGAGTGTAGTAATTATAGGGGTATAGCATTACTAGATACAACGTACAAAGTTCTAGCATATTGTATACTGGATAGAGTAAGACCTATAGCAGAGAATTTACTAGGTGACTACCAGGGAGGATTTAGGCCCAATATATCCACAACAGATCAGATTTTCGTTATAAGACAGATCCTCCAAAAAAGCTGGGAATATAACAAGGATGTACACATATTGTTTGTGGACTTTAAAAAAGCTTATGATTCTATTCATAGGGAAAGCCTAGTAAATATACTCAAAGAATTAAATATATTGTTTGTTTTATTTGGGTCTTTTGAAACCAAATCTTATTAAAAATGCCAAACTGTATGGTACCAAGTTGTCCAAATAACTCATGCAGAAGACCTAGGAAGGACATAAGTTATTACAGGTTCCCCAAATCTCCTAAAGTAAGGAAAAAGTGGTTAGATGCTTGTGGCAAGGAAGATGGTCAAATAAAAGATGGTAGGTATAATATTTAATTAATTATTTGTAAGATAATACACAACACCAATATAGCAATGCGGTAATAATATAAGTTTTGAAACAATAATACGGATATGTTCAAAACACTTAACTCCTAGTAAGTTACAAACAAAGTTGGCTTGTTTTAAGTATTCACCCGGTAATAAACGAAAACTTAAGCAAAGTGCTGTACAAACTAAATATTTAACTCCACGCAAGGCAAGTATTTTAAAGGGGTTAAATATTATTTACTGTCATATTTATTTTATAACTATATAATATACAATATTATAGAAATCTGTGTATAGTCAGGATGATGAAAGTGTTGCAGTAAATGAACCTGAAGATATGTCAGAGATAGGATTGTCTACTATTAGTGACCATGAACCTGAAGATACGTTAGAGGAAGACATTTATACCATTATATGCATTAACATGCAAATATATTCATGTATACATATTTATGTTTAATTTAGGTACATGTTGATATAGAGACGAGAAAGAACAAAATTAGCAGATCTCTCATGGACAATTTGAAGTCAAATGAATCCATAAATATAATTGGTAATAGGAAAAGGTAACATCAAAATGAATTAAATGTAGATTTATGTTTGTGTTCCAAGTTCTAATATAGCATTGTGTCTTTTACTGTGTTGTATACTTGTCTATATTTAATGGAATTCTTATTTATAATTCAAAACATTTATTATAGCATTGAACAAGAACTTGAGGAAACTAAAAAATGCTTAGCTGCAGTAAAGGAGGAAAATGAAATATTAAAAATGAATTTCAATGATTAAGTTGTAAATTTATTTTCTCATATTTTTACACTTACGCAAATAAATTATTTCCTAAATCCAATGAATAAAATAACAAAATGGGGAATAGATGATATTACAGGAGCAATTTCTCTTAGAAGTAAATCACCAAAGGCTTATAGATACTTAAGAGAATCTTTGAAGTATCCATTACCAGGTTTGTGAAATATTTCTTATACAACTGCCACTATGGTCACAATTTAAAACTATTTTAGCTCTATCTATTGGGCCCAAAATTGTCCAATTCAACCAGGAGTTTTAACAGGTGTGTTAGGTATCATGAAATCTAAAGGTAAGTAAACTAATCTATTACCTATTGGTTATTAACTTAAGTTAATTACCTACGTCACAACTAATCGTTATTACAATAAAATATTTATTAAATTACAGGTATTTCTATGGATGAAAATGATAAGCTAGTAAGTTTATCATTTGATGAAGTTTATATATCTCATGATATCTGTTATAATAAAATATCTCAGCAAGTTATTGGACCACACAAAACGGTATAAGTAGTAATGGCCAGAGGTATTTTTAAATCGTGGAAACAAGTTTTTTACAAATATGATAAACCGATGACAAGTGACATATTATTAGAGATTATCACTAACTTATATAAGATTGGATATACAGTTGTATCTGTGAAAAGTGATATGGGTCCAACAAACATGGGTTTGTGGAAGTCAATGAATGTTTCTCATAAAAATAGTTCATTTAATCATCCTCTAATGCCTGACAGGAGAATTCATGTTTTTGCCGACACCCCGAATTTGTTAAAACTTATTTGAAACAACTTTCTTGACCATGGTTTCTTTCTGAAAAATAACAACGGTATTAATTATTTAAAAATATTAAAACATTTAATTTAAATTTTAAGTTAAAATTTCTTTTTTACAAAGGCTATCAAAGGCATAAAAAGCTTTTATCAAAAGCTATGGAATATTATAGATTCAATAACAAATTCCAACTATCAAA